GGCCTCACGCGTCTTTCTCGGAACTTCCTCGGCGCAAGGTAGGCTGTTGGAGGCCTGCGCGGGACCTTTCCGCGCGGCCCGGCTGGAGGCGGATGCCACGGAGGGCGGACCTCCCAGCGTCCTAGAGCAGCCGCGCGGCTTCCCAGACGGCGGCGCACTTCCGCCCGCGCCGGTCGCCGCTGCGAGGACCGCTGGGCTTTGGTGTGGTACTGCACTCGCTCTCTCCTGCCGCGAGTCTGGAGAGCGGGTGAGTGGGGCCGGGCGCCCCGCAAAGGGCTGCGCAGGGTCTGGGCCGGCGCAGAGGACCCAGGCCTAGGAGCGAAGGCCTGCAGCGTCCACCCCGGGCCGGAGCCTCTGGCTCCCGCCGGTCCCACCCTCTTCAGTGAGACTTCAGTGAGTCTTGTAGGAAGGCGAGCCTGGGCTTCCGAGTGGTCGGAGCTGTGGCTTCTAGCCTGGCTCTGTCTTGGCCACTCAGTCTCCGGGGCTTGGTTCTTCGAGCTCTACGGTGGGGGGCAGCGGTCTCTGAGCGCTGGTTCGCAGTCTCCGCAACCATGAGGAGTACCTGGGAAATCTTCCAAGTACTGTGGCCTCAGAATCACCAGTGGTTGTGATATGTATCCTGGACTGAGCACCACTGAGTGTCCAATGACAAGACTGTGAACTTGGGCAAGGAGCCAGTTAAAGCTGGCTGCTAACCAAAAGCTCGGCGGTTCGAACCCACCAGCAGCTCTGGGGGAGAAATACGAGGCAGTCAGCTCAGTAAAGATTTACATACAGTCTCGGAAACAGGGCACTTCTACTCTGTCCTGGGCGCTTATAACACCGTGGCGGTGCGTGTGCTGCGTACCACGGTACTTCGACCCGAATGGGCACTTTGTGGAATTGTAGATCGTAGGCACGAGAAACCACGCAGCCAGCAGTTTTTCGTCAAGACAGGGACCGAATCTGATTTGCTAACTCTTAATTCCTAGCGCCAACAATGGGTGCGTGCCACATAATGGAGCCTGTAAATGTGCATTGATTAGATAAATTAATTTCTGTCATCTCCTGCTCCGGTGGGAGAGTTTGACTACTTGTTTTTAATTTTTTTATTATGGAGACTTTTCAAACATAGACGAAAGTAGAATAATATAATGAACTGCCATTTTTTGGTCATATATCATCCCAATTCACAGGATTGTTTTAAAACAGATCTAAAGTATTACATCTCATTCATTAAATACTTGTTTATAACCATAATGGCATTACCAGTCTAGTAAGAATTTCATATTATCATCTACTAACTAGTGTTTCTAAGGAGTTCTGGTGACGTAGTGGGTAAGGCTACTAACCACAAATATGGCTGTTCAAACCCACCAGCAGCTCTGGGGAAGAAAGATGAGGTAGTCAGCTACAGTAAAGATTTACATACAGTCTTGAAAACAGAGCTGTTCTACTCTGTCCTAGGGCACTATGAGCTGGAATCGACTCAATGGCACTGGATTTGGTTTGGTATTTTTTTTTTTTTTTTTGTAGTGTTTAAACTTCCCCAATTGTTTCTTTCCCACTATCAGTTTGTCCAAAGCAGGATCCAAACTAAGTACATATGTTGCATTTGGTTAGTGTCTCTTAAATCTCCTTTACTCTTTAAGTTTTCCCTCCCTCTTTATTATCTTTTTCTTGCAGTGTACAGGTTATTTGTCCTGTAAAGTTTCCCAGATACTAGATTTTACTTTTTCTGTCCCTGAAGTGTCCTTTAAGAAACTGGTATTTAGATCCACAGGTGTTTTTAGATTTAGATTCCACTTTCTGGCAAGAAAACCTCCTAGGGTTACTGTATACCTCACAGTGCATCCTGGGAGTTAGGTAAGTGCTGTTCCTCTACGTGGGGCTGAGATTAATCAGTGGACCTTTCCTGTACACGTTGCACAACGGAGTAACTAAATCATTGTCCAGGGAATTAAAGAAGGATTACAGCTAATAACTGCAAAAGGAATGTGGTTGTTAGGTGCCGTTGAGTTAGTTCCAACTCATAGCAACCCTGTGTACCACAGAAGGAAACACTGCCCAGTCCTGGGCCGTCCTCACGATCCTTGCTTTACCAAAGCCCATCATTGTAGCCACTGTGTCGGTCCATCTCATTGAGGGTCTTCCCCTTCTGCGCTGAGCCTTCACTTTACTGAGCACGATGTCCTCCAGTGAGTGGTCCCTTCTGACAACATGACCAAAGTAGGTGAGAGCTCGCTTCCAAGGAGCGTTACGGACAATTATAGTACCACTTTTTGGCAACTCCTGATGAAATAATGGATCCTGGCAGGGATCATTAGTTGCTACGAACATCAAGAGATATAACCAGACACCTATCAAGTATCATGGGAGCTCTGGTAGCATAGTGCCTAAGGTACTTGACTGCCAACCAGAAGGCTGGCAGTTCAAACTCACCAGCCACTCCTCTGAAGGAAGGTGGGGCAATCTACTTCCGTAGTGATACTGCCTCGGAAACCCAAGGAGGAGCACATAACAACAACAACATCAAGTATCATCGGAGGAATGGGGGTGGGGATATAAAGGAAACAAGGTTGGCTCTGAGTTGATAATTGTTGAAATTCTGTGATGGATACGTTGCAATGAATTACACTAATCTCTCTACTTTTCTATGTGTTTGAACTTATTCATAATAAAAAGTTTAAAAAAAAAATTGGATCAACTACTTGATTAGTAAATTTGAGTTAACCTGACCCATCCATTTTAGTTACCTGTTAGCCTTTGACTAAGTGGGTCTGAAATTAGACTGCACATTGGAATCACAGAGGAGGACGGGTTTTTTTTTTTTTTTTTTTTTGCCTTTTTTAATTGTAAAACCTACATCTCACTCAAAGAATTTCCTATATTGTTCTGGGATAGAGACCAATCACTAATAGGTTTTAAAAGCACTCCAGATGATTCTTGTGTGCTCCCAGGGTTGTGTACCACTGGCCTAGACCCATTATTTGTTAGGGGTCGCAAAGTGATGATACTCTATCATTCCTTTTGCATTTATTAGCTGCTTTTTTTTTTTTTTTTTTTTTTTACTTTCTACACTATGTTTATTCTCACCTCTCCTGCAAACTGCAATCCAATGGGAAACCCTCTGCAAATTAAGCTACTTAATTATCAGAGGAAGGCTTGATCTTGGAGGTGAAAATGTGGAGTAACACCTGGAAGGGACACTAGAGAGAACCTCCAAGTCTACGTGTGGGGTAGAGAGACACATCACCACTTTGTGTGAGGTGTGTGTGGGGTGGGAGGGGGAAGCTGACTGAATCGCAGATTAGAAAGGAAGACTGGATGATGTGTGATTACAAAAGCAAGTTTAGCCTTATGGTACATTTTTTTAAAATTTATTAAATATTTTATAAACATTAATACTGCTTATTGCAACCAGAAACAATTGAAACAAATATTTAGAAATTAATAACCCCCCTCATTTTAATCATCCCTGAGATAACCCATGTTAACAGTATACTGTATATCCATCCACTCCTGTCTTTCTCCGTCTTATATACATACAAAGAATTAGGAGAGACTGTTGTTATAAAAATGAGATCATGCCATTGCCGTCTGTAACTTCTTTCATTGTCATCCTTCCAGGAAAACAGTTGCAGACCTAACTATTAGCTGTACAGTTCATAGTATGATGTACAATAGTCAACAATTTCCCTATTGACATATATTTAGATTATTTCCAATTTTTTGCCACCTTAAATCCCACCACAATAAACATTCTGTATAGATCTTTTATTTCTGTAGGGTAAATTCCCCAAAATGGGGTTGCTAGTCCAAAGGGTATTGTTGTCAGTATTATCATTATTACTGGTAATAGATATTGCCACAATACTCTCTCAAAACTTAGTAGCAATTTATCTCCATCATGGGTAATAAATGAGAGATATGTAAGAATTATGTAAATAGTTCTTAAAATTATTTCTCTGTCTGCCTCCCTCTCGTCAATGTGCATCATCCACAATTGGTGATTTGTAAGTTTCAGTTTGTTTGCATTCTGTTTGATGCACATCTTCCGCCACAGAAGAATGTCAGAGATGGAAGACGTGCCCAGAAATAGTAAAAGAGAAAACAGGGATGCCAGCAGTGGGCAGAAATCTGTGCCTCACTGACCACTTACAATAGCAGAGCCAAGTCCTGACCTGGGAGCCCTGACGGTATGGTGGTTGAGTGCCCCACTGCTAACTGAAGGTGTCTGAACCCACCAGTCACTCTGTGGAAGAAAGATGTGACAGTGTACTTCTGTAAAAATTACAGCCTTAGAAACCCCACAGGGCAGTTCTGTTCTGTCCTACAAAGTTACTAGGAGTTGGAACCAACTTGACAGCAACAGGTTTTTTGGGTTTGAAGTCCTCACCAGTCATGGATCCTGTCATTTGAGTTGATGAGAAGTTCACTCAGTGTTACTCTGAAGTATCAGCGTTACTGGAGAATGTTGTAGAGAGTTACTGTTGTTTATGGTTGTTCAGGGCACCCCAGGACCTCAACACAATTTTTAATTGCCTGCGTTTTGCTGCCTTTTTTTTTGTTGTTGTTAGCAGCCACACAACATTTGGTAACTTGTGGTTTTAGCCAGTTAAAACTGCACCCAACCCACTGCTATCAAGTCGACTCCAACTCATAGCAACCCTCTAGTTAGGAGTTGTTCAATCTTACTTTGGATTTGCATGAAAAATTATTAGAGAACAGGAATCCAGAATGTTCTGAATAACCAAAAAAATAAATAGCAGTAATCTCCCAGGAACCTGTTTTTGGTGATGTGAACAGTTCGGAGAAATAATCCGCAGGTGGTTTTTCCATTGCAGGGCAGAAGATGTCTATGGATGTGACATTTCTGGGGACGGGCGCAGCGTACCCATCCCCGACCCGGGGTGCTTCTGCTCTGGTCCTTCGGTGTGAGGGAGAGTGCTGGCTCTTTGACTGCGGGGAGGGAACTCAGACACAGCTTATGAAAAGCCAACTTAAAGCAGGTTAGTGTACATTCAGAGCTATCTCATGACAATGATTTCTGGTTATACTTCATTTTCTTGGCCCTTTTGCTCAGAAACGCCCCTGGCAGGTCTGTCCACTTCAGTGCTGGAGGCCTGACAAGACTTGGAAGGCCCTCAGTCATCTGGCCACAGCCACTGAGCCTCATTTGTTTGTTTATTTGCTTTTCATTCATCCTGTAAATGTTGAGAGCAAGAATTTCTTATGTAGGCTAGGAGTGAGTGTGGAATGGGCTGCATCAGGCGTGTTAAATGGATATTGCCCTAGCAATCCAGGGAGGAGGAGAGGAGCACATGCTTATTTCCAACAGCAGATACTTAGAAGTGTCAGGAGAGGGATGCAAAGGGCAGTAAATGTCCAGAGGAGGGTGTTCTGGTTCCCTAGTCCCGCTCTGACAGGAATATACCACAAATGGGATGGCCTTAACAAACCGGAGTTTATTCTTACAATTTGGAGGCTTTAAGTCCAAGTTCAAAGTGCCAGGTTCTAGGGGCTGGGTGAAAGCCCCTCAACCTTGGGTTGCAGCTCTGCCTCCTGCTCTTGGCCCACTGAAACTAGAAGCTTTTCTTCACTCAGCTGCTGGCTGCTGAGGCTGAGAAACCCCAAGGTTGACAAGTAAAAAGACACTGTCCCGATGTTACCAACCCACAGAGCAGGCCATTAGTTCAAGTCCATTGTAAGTCCCAAGGTTGACAGAGCATGGCAGGCCTCTGAACAACAACACGGCTACATGAAGGGTTCAAGCGTGCTATAAGCTAGAGACCATTCCCCAAGGCTTCTCCTTATATACAGGAAGCAGACCACATCCCTAAGGCAGCTACTCAGCGGCTCCATTAGACTCCACCATGGGGTTGATTACCAGTCTCATCATGGGGAATACTACATCCAGCTGCCCAGCCACTCAGTCAGGCCCAGCCAAGTTGACACACAAACTTAACTACCACAGAGGGACACATCCCAGAGAAGGTGGCCTCTGAGGTGTTGAAGAACACACAGAAGAAGGGCAGTGAACAAAGAAGAATGGAGTGAACCAAGACTCAGCACCAGGGAGGCTGGGAGCACATGGTTAAAAGCCTCGGCCCAGTCAAGCCAACCTGGGTCCCAGTCCCAGTTCTGTCTTGGCTTTATGACCTTAGCAGACCAGAAACCATTCTTAAGCTTTACTTCCCTTGTGTCAAAATGGGGGAAAAAAACTCTTACTAAGAAGTGATGTTATGAGAATTATATGTAACGATCCTATTTCTGTGTGGCTGCCTCCTTATCTTCAATTAGATTTTAACTCAAATGCTATTTCCTCAAAGGATTTCTCTAAACCTCCTGGATTAAGTAGTTCCTCCCTCACCTTGGTCATTTTACTGCTTCATCCTATTTTGTTGACTTTAATCAATATCTGATTGCATCATCAATATCTGAAATTATTTATCTAAATAATTGTTTCTGTGTTTCTTGTCTGTGTCCCTGTGCTATAAAGTAAGCTCAATGGTCAATTATATATCTGGTAGATGCCTAATAAATACCATTCAGTTAATGAGTGATGAGATGCTGAGCACTTAGTTCAGTTCCTCTCACTCATTAGGTCTTGATGAATGGCAGTCATGAAAGTTATCATTCCTAGGACTCATCACAGTGTATGGCATTTGATAACTTAGGAAAGAGACTCACAGGTTCTGAGGATCTCTTAGTCTTGTGATGGAAACTGACATGCAAACAGACAGGCACAGTGTAAGATGATAAGCAGAACAATGGAGGTATTTCTGAGAACTTTTGCGCATGAAGATGACATTAGCTGCTTGCATGTTCAGAGAAGGCATCCCAGATGTGGGGACAGTTGAACTAGAATCTAAAAGATGAATAAAAGTATCTCCAGGGAGAGGAGTAGGGATGGATGTTCCAGAAAGAGACAACAAAGCCAACAGTAAGTCAGGGAGTTTCCAGAAAAGAAATGGTATGTTTGGGGAACATTAAATCCAGAACATTGAGTACTTGGCTAGGAGAAATGGGAGATGAGAATGCTGAAAAAAGAAGTGGGGGCAGACTGTGAAGTCTTATATGGCATGATAAAATATTTAGACCTTATTATTCTGTTGGCAGTAAGGAACCATTAAAAATCTGTAGTCAGAGGGATGATGTGATTTGACTTGTTTTACTTTTCTGATTAAAAAAAAGTAAAGATTGAGAGAGAGAATAGCATTAAGAACATCAGTAGAGGAAGCAGGGGTAGGGATAGAGACAAGGAATTCAGCTTGAGAGATAAGTGGCGCCAACAGGAAGTAGTGACTGATTGGATGTGTAGGGTATGAGAAAGGGAAGAACTTAAAGTATTACACAGTACCAAGGATGAAGTCATGGACCAAGATAGGGAGCCACGAAAGAGCTGTTGGAGGAAGGAGCTAATACATAGAGTTTGGGACACAAGGTCTTGAGGTGCACGCAATTCTACCATAATTACATACTGTCTTGTGTTGAAACCCTGAGGTGAGAGCAGGTCCTATATGCTTCATGTCTCTTGATCAAACATGTGTTCCTTTCATGATGACTCTCAGGGTAGGCACAGGCCAGAGTGGAGGCTGTGATGTTTTAACATGTTAGAATGTAGGAGTTGAAGTAGAGTAGGGGATAGATTAAAATCGAAACAAGAAACTGTTTAATGTGGGTATTAAACTGTTAAGTTTTGGGTGGGAAGGTAAATCTTTACTTTTATATTTGTATTAGTTATCTAATGATGCATAACAGATTACCACAAACCTAGAGGCTTAACCACCACTCATCTGTCGGTTTGTGGTCCTGTGGTGGCTTGCATGTTGCTGTGATGCTGGAAGCTGTGTCACTGGTGTTTCAAGTATCAGCAAGGTCACCTGTGGTGGATAGGTTTCAGCAGAGCTTCCAGACTAAGAAAGACAAGGAAGAAGGAAGTGGTGGTCCACTTGTGAAAAAAATGAAATGGAACATGTAAGTCTGATATCCTAGGCCTTAGTGAGCTGAAATGGACTTGCATTGGCCATTTTTGAATCAGACAATCATATAGTCTACTATGCTGAGAGTGATAGATTGAAGAGGAATGGTATCACATTCATTGTCAAAAAGAACATTTCAAGATTTGTCCTGAATTACCATGATATCAGTGACAGGATAATAACCATATACCTATAAGGAAGACCAGTTAATACTCCTGTTATTCACATTTACACAGCAACCACTAAAGCTAAAGATGAAGAAATTGAAGATTTTTACCAACTTCTGCAGTCTGAAATTGCAATCAACATGTATTAATAGTTACTGGTAGAATGCAAAAGTTGGAAATGAAGAAGCATTGGTTGTTGGAAAATATAGCCTTGGTGAAGGAAATCTCATGATAGAATTTTGCAAGACCAATGACTTATTTACTACAAATACCTTTTTTCAACAACATGGTGGCTATACATGTGGACCTCACCAGATGGAATATAGGAATCAGATCAGCTACATCTGTGGAAAGACATAATAGTGAAGCTCAATATTGTCAGGCTGACTGTGGAATAGAGCATCGTTTGCTCATATGCAGGTTCAAGTTGAAGCTAAAGAAAATTAAAACAAGTCCATGAGAGCCAAACTGTGACCTTGGTTATATCCCACCTGAATTTAGAGACCATCTGAAGAATAGATTTGATCCATTGAACTCCAGTGACCAAAGACCAACGAGTCATGGGATGGCATTAAAGACATCCTACATGAAGAAAGCAAAAGGTCATTACAAAGACAGGAAAGGAAAAAAAAAGACCAAAATGGATGTCAGAAGAGACTTTGAAACTTGCTCTTGAAAGGCAAGTAGCTAAAGCAAATGGAAGAAATGATGAAATAAAAGAAATGAACAGAAAATTTCAAAAAGTGGCTAAAGAAGACATCGTAAAGTATGAAATGTGCAAGACTTGGAGTTAGAAAAACAAAAGGAAAGAATATACTTGGCATCTCGTGAGCTGAAGGAACTGAAGAATAAATTCAAGCCTCAAGTTGCAATATTGAAGGATTCTATGGGCAAAATATTGGATGATGCAGGAAGCATCAGAAGAAGATGGAAGGAATACACTGTACCATTGCTCAGCCATTTCTGGAAGTAGCATATGATGAAAAAACAATGGTATTGAAGGAAGAAGTTCAAGCTGCACTGAAGGAATTGGCCAAAAACACGGCTCCAGGAATTGACAGACTACCCATTGAGATGCTTCAACAAACAGATGTAGTGCTGGAAGTGCTCACTCATTTTTGCCAAGAAATTTGGTTGACTAACTGAAAGAGATCTATATTTGTGCCGATTCCACAGTAAGGTGATCCAACAGAATGCATGAATTATTATTGAACCATATCATTAATATCACACACAGTAAAATTTTGTTGAAGGTAATTAAAAAATGGTTGCAGCAGTATATCAACAGAGAACTGCCAGAAGTTCAAGTTGGATTCAGAAGAGAGAGTGTTGTGAAATACATCATTGCTGATATCAGATAGATGTTGGCTGAAACCAAAGAATAACAGAAATATGTTTGCTTGTGTTTTATTGACTATGCAAAGGCATTTGATTGTGTGAATCATAACAAATTATGGACAACATTGCGAAGAATGGGAATTTCAGAGCACAGCTGTACTCATGAGGAATCTATACATAGACCAAGAGGCTGTCGTTCATACAGAACAAGGGGATACTTCATGGTGTAAAATTAGGAAAAGTATGCATCAGGATTGTGTTCTTTCATTGTACTTACTCAATCTGTATGCTGAGCAGATAATCTGAGAAGCTGGACTATATGAAGAACATGGTGTCAGGATTGGAGGAAGAATAATTAACAACCTGCAATATGCAGATGACACAACCTTGCTTGCTGAAAGTGAGGCTGATCTGAAGCATTTACTGATAAATACCAGTAAGTGTGAATTACACTTCACCATAAAGAAAACAAAATCCTTGTTACTGGACCAATAAGGAACATCACAATAAATGGAGAAAAGATTGAAGTTGTCAGAGATTTCATTTTACTTGAATCTATAATCAACACCCATGGAAGCAGCAGTCACAATATCAGACAGCATATGGCACTGGGCATATCTGCTGCAAATGAGCTCTTTAAAGTGTTCAAGAGCAAAGATGTCACTTTGAAGCTAAGGTATGCCTGACTCAAGTCATGGAATTTTCAGTGGGCTCATGTACATGTGAAAGCTGGACAATGAATAAGGAAGACCCGAAGAATTAATGCATTTGAATTGTGGTTTTGGTGAAAGATATTGAAAATACCATCGACTGCCAAAAGAATGAACAAATGTGTCTTGGAAGACATATAGCTGCAGTGCTCCTTAGAAGCAAGAATGGCCAGATTTCATCTCACGTACTTTGGCCACATTGTCAAAGGGAGCCATTCCTTGGAGAAGGAAGGATAGCATGCTTGGTAAGTGGAGGGTCAGTGAAAAGGGGGAAGACCCTCAACAAGATGGATTGACACAGTGTCTGCAATGATGGGCTCAAGCTTGGCAATGATTGTGAAGATGGCAAAGAACCTGGCAGGGTTTTATTCTGTTGTACACAGTGTTGGCACCTGACAACAGCAACAAAAGAGGCTTAAAACAACACACATTTACTACCCCATAGTTTCTGGAGTCTAGTCCCTGTTTAGCTGGGTCCTCTGCTTCAGGGTCTCACCAAGCTGCAGTCAATTGTTGGCTGGGTCTCTGGTCTCAGCAGAGATTACCCTGCGGAAGAATCAGCTTGTAAGCTCACTCAGGCTGTTGGCAGAATGCTTGTGGTTATAGGACTAAGGCTGCCCTCAGCTCCTGGTGGCCTCCCCACAATTCCTTGCTGTGTGGGCTTCTTTCTAGTAACTTTCTCACCAGCAACCAGGGAGAGAGACTTTAGAGTGAATCGTCTTGCACAACTGAGTCTTTTCTGACATAATGTAGTCACAGTACATCCCTCTGCCCTCTTCTGCCGGTTAGAAGCAAGTCACAAGTTCTAGCCACACTCAGAGGAAGGGGGTTATAGGAGAGTGTGAACACCAGAAGGCGGAGGTCATGGAAGATACCTTAAATCTTTTTGCCATAATACTCTTATGTAATATTTTATATTTTACAGTTATTTTATATGTCTATTTTTAAATAAACATATAAAACTAAACCTGGCAAAAACAACAAAAAAGCCCAACGGAACCTTCAGTTTACTAAATTTTTATTGGCTTGGAAAAAAAGTTCTAGACCTCAAAGAGGAAGGTGGATGAGGACATTGGAAAGAAGCACCCTCAGTACACGCTGGTTTCCCTCAGTAACTCGGATGGACCATTTGCTGTTTGATTTATTGAAGCTGCTTACAGCTTGTACTACCCTCTGGGGTGATCCATTATATGAGCTTAACAGGAAATACCTTTTATTTTTCTAAACATATTTCTTGTAAGCTTCCATGGTTCTGATATGTAGGCATCTAGCAAGTTTGCTTGTCTGTTTCCTTCATGATATTAAAGAATGAGCATAAGCTTTTTTCCCTCTTCAAAAAAATGATGTAAAGTATTACAAAAGTATAATTTTAAAAAAATAAAACATGTATATACATATTGTAAATGTTCAAACAAAGCAGAGAAATGTAAAGAAGTAAAAGCCCAAATCCCCCTCTCATAGATAAATTTTCTATACATGTAGATCTGTTAATGGTATAGATGTATTTGTACATATTCACACATGTATATGTGTGTGTGTGTAGTTTTGCATAAATGAAGTCATACTATACTTAATGTAACCCCCCCCCCCCCCACTGACCAATATATATAAACAGCGCATTGCAGCCATTTTCCCATGGCAGTTACTGTAACTGCACCATCATTTTTAGTGGATGGTTAGTATTGAAGTCCTCTATGGGATGACGCATTTTCTCCCCTCTAATGTTCTTGTTCTCAAGTGAAAATAACTCATGCATTTTTCTCTCTTCATTTGATAACTTCCTCATACCTTTGATAATTGTGGTTGTCATTCCTTCTGTCTGTGAAATCAAGTTTCTTGAAAAATGAAATGTTTGTCTTCTATGAAACTGTGACAACGATGAGAAGCAATTTTTCACTTACTTGTCTCACTTGGTTTGGGTTCACAGGTTGTTGTGGTTGTTCAGTTCTAGCTTTGTTTTGGTGAGACAGGGAGAGGGCCCGGAAAGTCTGACGGTGGCAGCGTTGAGACCAGCGTGCCAGCGGGGGACTCCCAGCCGCTCTAGCTTATTTGTCTCCAGAGGCCTCAGGACACATTGAAGGTGCTTGACAGCCTGGATGGAGGAAGGGAAAAGGGAGGGGTTCTAGAAGTCAAAGAACAGCCAAAACAGGAGCTAAAAGGAGAAAAGAAATTACAAAGAACATCACAAAACAAAATGTGTACAAATTGTTAAATGGAAAACTGAGTTGCTCTGTAAACTTCACTCTCAGCCCATGAAAAAGAGAGAGAGAGAGAGAAAAGAAAAAGGAGCATGAGGAAACATCTAGAATACCTCCTGGAGATTCTCAGGGCCCAAACTTGGCTGCTGTCAATCTAGTGTTATCTGCTTCTGGGCCTGGGCTTGGTGTGGTGATGCTGAGATTTGCTGGGAGAACACTTTTGCCTTGATGTCACTGGAAATTGCATTACAGATAAACTGTTCCTGTTCTTTGGTATCAAACGTTTGGAATACATGGGCCGTGAGCTCGCAGTGGAAGCTCTGTTATATTGAAAATGTGCTCATTGTGGTTGTTAATTTTAAAATGCCTTGTGGTACATCTCCAAATTAGGCCCATGTGGCATCCTGCCATGTACCAGCAGTAAATTCAATTCACCACTGGCTAAATCAAGTTACAACCTAAGCCAATATATACTGAAGACGCTATTGTGTTAGTTCACACGGAAAGGAAGAGACAGTCTAAAGGACCCTTCGTAATACTGGAGCAGATCCGACCCCTGATTTACATTCCTGTGTCTACTCCCACCTCCACACCCCCTTTCCTCCGTCCCTTCCTCTGCCACCTCCCTGCTTCCCCCACTTCCCTACTCTTTCCCTCCCTACCCCCCTCTTTCTTGTCCTCTCCCTCCAACTTCCTCCAAAGAAGCAAAACTGTACTTGGCTGCTTAATCTTAGTCTACTGTAGAGAGTCCTTACAAGGCAATTTTGGGTTCAGGCACTGGTCCAGTCATTTGAAGCCGATGGAACATTTGCTTTGCTGCAAGTACATTTTGCTATTTTCAGAGGGAGCAGTAGGGGGCAGTGTAACTGCCCATGCTTTTGGTACATGGGGCCTATCTAGCTCCTTATATGAATTATTTGGGTATATTCACTTATTTTTAGATGAGAATATATGTAGGAAACTGAAAACTATATAATTTGAAGATGTTTTCTGGCAAAAAAAAAAAAAAAGTAATACTTTATGAAATCATCCAGCGAAATAAAGACTGTCTTTCTTGTTTCGGGAATCATGTAGGAAGATGTAAAGGAACAGGTTCCTGGTGGTAAGTAGAACTTCTCGACTTCTCGGTTCATATTATTGCTTCTTATGTAAGTTGTTATGCTTGTTTCAAGGAGCTTTGCGTCGGTTTTCATTTCTGAAAAGTTCCCAATGGTATTTCTCTATCTTAATCAAAAGGGAGAATCACCAAGATCTTCATCACGCATCTTCACGGAGACCATTTCTTTGGCCTTCCTGGCCTCCTCTGCACAATCAGTCTGCAGAGTAGCTCCACGGTCACCAAACAGCCTGTGGAAATCTATGGCCCTGTAGGCCTTCGGGACTTTATCTGGCGAACCATGGAACTCTCTCACACAGAGCTGGTCTTCCCGTATGTGGTCCATGAGCTGGTGCCCACAGCTGATCAGTGTCCTCCTGAAGAACAGAAGGAATTCACACATAGGAAAGGACCAGACAGCCCTGCCCAAGAGGAGCAAGGGAGGACTATCATGTTAGACTCAGAAGAGGACTCGTACCTTTTGGTTGATGATGAACAGTTTATTGTAAAAGCATTTCGCCTCTTTCACCGAATTCCCTCCTTTGGATTTTCGGTCATGGAGAAGAAACGCCCAGGTAAACTCAACGCTCAGAAACTGAAAGATCTCGGTAAGTGTTTGGTATGTTTTTTTTTCTCCCTTCTCGTCAATCAACTAGTATTAACTGAAACTGTTAAAAGTGCCCTAGATTCTTCCTTTCCTGTCTCCCAGCCTAAAACTGATATTTTCTCTATTTCCTATGCCCAAAATGTGCCGATTTCTTACAGGAAACCCTTGGAGCCAGAAGGGTGCTTGCTACTCAGACCAAAACCCAAGTATATATCTAAGTCTTTCTCTCATCAACTCCTTGGATGCAAATTGTAGTTTGTCTTACCTTCAGCTTATGCTGCCTTGGTTGGGAGGAGTGGCTTGGATGGTGGTGGTGCTGGGTGTTGTTTTAGGTCTAGGCTTTTAGTTGCTCATGTATTGCATTTGAAAGATGTTTTTGATGACAACTTTGGCTTGAGAGGTTCCCCCTCCATAGTTCTTAATAATCATGCAACTAAAACAATCTACCTTCTTTGTCAATGTTGCCTACTCTTTTGACCTTGATGAAGTTAATCTGGTGTTCAGAGCAGAGCACCTCAACCAGTTTTACACACCTAGGTTCATCACATTTGGAGGCAAAGCACATAAAGGCATGCTTGTTGCCCTTGTAAAGCTTCACACCTCCTCCCTGCGAGGCCACCCTCTCCGAAAGGGATCCCCTGCACCTTGTGGCGTATAATGGCCTAACCCATTATACTGCCAGCATCCCTACCTTTCTTGGCTTGGTCACGGCAGAGACATTAAAAAGCAGGGTAGTGGTTTTTCTATGTTTGTTTATATGTTTAGACAGTTTTTTCCTTCTTTTCCAACTAAAACAAAATGCTAGATACAGAGGAAAAGTGATGTTGACCAAAGGTAGTTTTATTATCTAAAAACCTGGAGGAATGCTGTTCTGCTTGGAAACTTTAAACATGATCTGTATTGGAATTTGTATATTATTTGGCCCAGCATGATGACTAGGTGCTGGTCTAGAGTAGTCTGAGATGGAAGCCCAGCTTGGTAAGTGTGGAACTGGGCTGTCTACCAAGAAATGAATTGTGTGTAATTCCCTAAAATTCTCCTTCATCTTGTGATCAAACAGTCTCTCCAGCAACGTTTTCATTGAGGTAGTCAGTTTGTAGGTGCCTATCTTGACTAGGCATTGATTATGTTGTTATTTAAATGAACACTTTAATTTTACCCAAAGATGAACCTATTAAATAAAGCACTCTCAAAAACCATTAGTCCCATACAAAGCAGGGAATTCGAATGGTTATCATCACTATAGTGAAGTCTTCGTGGGACTTGGGAGGTTAAAGCTCATCTGACACGAATATGTGGGAAATACCTTTTTAAGGCCTAGGGCATTCTAATATCACTAAGTTTTTTCAAATGTATAGATATTCTAGTTTCTGTAAGTAGTAGAAACATTTATAACAGTTACAAAAAGAAATGGAAGCCTCTTCCATTTGCTGTTTGCTGTGCTGTTAAGAGACTCCTTTAAGAAGTCATGAATCCCATTCCCATGACGTATTGTTATCTGCCTTCATCATTAGGTGTTCCACCCGGTCCCGCCTATGGGAAGCTGAAGAATGGAATATCTATTGTTCTGGAGAATGGGGTTACAATTTCTCCCCAAGATGTTTTAAAAAAGCCTGTCGTTGGAAGAAAAATCTGCATCTTGGGTGACTGTTGTGGGGTCGTGGGTGATGGAGGAGTGAAACTGTGCTCTGGAGCAGACCTGCTGATCCATGAAGCGACCCTGGATGATACCCAGATGGACAAAGCGAAGGAGCATGGCCACAGCACGCCACAGATGGCGGCAGTGTTTGCAAAGTTGTGCCAAGCAAAGAGGCTGGTTCTCACTCACTTCAGTCAGAGGTACAAGCCAGTTGCCTTGGCCAGAGAGGGAGAAACAGATGGTACTGCAGAACTGAAACAGCAAGCTGAATCAGTGTTGGGTCTCCAAGAAGTGACTCTAGCAGAAGATTTTATGGTGATTGGCATTCCAATCAAGAAATGACACCAGCCTTCCCATATGCAGATTGCATGTCAGTGAACATGTTGCTGAACCTTCAGTCCAGTTGGGTTTTTGTTTGTTTGGTTGGTTTAAATTATTTGGGCCCTAATAATCCTAAAGAGGATGACTCTACACTGCTGAACTGACTCAGCAATAAGAGGGAGCAAGCTTTTTGATAATAAATAATTTTTAGAAGAAAAAGAACAGCATCCTTCTTTTCTTTAAAATTCAAATTTGATGAAATGATACACTATTCAGATACACTTCCTGTTTTGTGACTACTGCCTCAGATATAAGCCAGTACCCCCATGCAATCCTGGCTTTAGCATCTGCCCAGCTTCAGTGCTGTTACTGGAGCAGGGCTTGGGGTATTTTGGCAGTTTGTATTGAATCTGCTCATGTCATTAACAGAATAGAGAGAAATGTAATGGGGCATTGGACGTGTAGGATTGGAGATAACCCTGCTAAGTCTTGAAGTCTTTGCTGGAATATTGAATGCAGGCTCAGGCGAGGTGTTTCTTTTTCAGTGTTTTTGTTTTTTTTTTAACTGAACTTCCTGGTTTGCTATAAGCCTGTGGTTCTCAGGTGATGATGATACCACACTCCTAGGGAATGTTTTTCTTTTTGTCACAGTGACTAAGGGGCACTACTGGTATTTAGTGGGCAAGGGGCCAGGGATGTTAGATGTCCTGCAAAATTTGTATCAGTCCTGTAGGAGATAGAATTATCTTGCCCCAAAAGGCAAATTACAGACATGTTGAAATACACAACAAGTTAAAACTTACACTCCTGATGTGAATATACCTTATCAAAATTAATAACATAACCAACTGAATTACTAGTCAAATCCTACAACAGATCATAAAGAACTAGCTAAGTGGATATGTTGGAAATAGGATATCACATCAAATATTATTTGAAAGAAATGAGCCATCAGCTACAACTTTTGAATCTGGAGGTAAAGAAATGGTATCTATTAAGCTAAGCTTGGATTTACGTGACCACTAAGTAAGCAGTCAGAAAATACTAATGAATTAATATCCTTGATATCCTAAGTGTGCAAACTTTAGGACATAGTTCTGTGTCTGTCTCATTACTGTACTTATCAAAAAAATTTTTAACCCCCTGGTTGGCAGTGCACCATACATTGAAGACTAATAATGCTTTATTGTGTTGGGAGTACATAAATAAATGTAAGACAAAATTCCAGCCCTGAGCTCACAGGTTAGTCTTGGGATAGATAGGTGAACAAAATAAATATCCAATTCTTTCAAATGTTTTCCTATTCTTGTAGCCTGGCACTAAGTTTTGCTGTTCCTAAGCATTACTTGGTAACGACTCGAGCTGTGCCCTTAGAACCAGGTGGTGCATATGGTGATATGTGGGCTAAGCATTCAGAGACCATGGGAATTTGAATTGCTAGGTTGGATCAGGTGTAAGGTATCACTCCAGGATGAGAATTGTTTCTAGGACTCTTCTGGCCAAGAATTTGTAGGGTCCTTCTAAGAATTTGTAGAGCTAGAATTGAGAATGAAACTTAAAGGACTGGACCTCTCAAGGCTGTAATCTGCTCATGAGCTCCGTGACTCTGAGAGGGGTTTATAGTATGTGTATTGTGCCCCATGCTTATTTGATCACAGAACCTTCTTTTTGCCAAGAAACATCTTAGAACACTGAGAAGTGCTAGTGCTTAATACTTCTCAAAATCATTTATATTTTTTACCTATACAATTTATGAGGTAATGAATTCCATATCTATACTTAGCATATACTTTCCTGTCCTAAACTGACTTTTGCATGTCAGAAATCCTTAGATACTCATTTGGTATATATAAAAAATAGCACTGTCAAGTTCTTAAAAGGTGTTTCATGATCATCCATTGCCGTTGAGTTGATTCTAAAATACACTCTAAGTTGGCTCTGTTTTCTAATATTTCTGCTTCTTTGATGAGTTTTTAATGAACTTTTAATCATAAAAGGAGCATATGCTTGATAGAGACTTTTTTTTTTTTTTAAGGTTAAAGAGAAGAAAACAATTAGTCATAATTCTACTATCCAGAGAGAGCTATTACTTCTGGTCTGGTGGTCCTCAACCGAGGTGTTAGTAGTACCCAGAGTGATTAAGTAGATGGAGACCCTTGAACTCTGCTTCTAGAAAGACTAATTTGGTACCCAAGTGGAGTGGTACCCAAGAATCTCTTTTTTTAATGAGGCCCCCAGGTGATATATGCGTAGCAGACCACATTAAAAGGAAAAAAAATTGTAATTTTTCTATACACTTAAAACTTGGGGTGTGTATATATATTTTTTATATGTTTACATGTATATAATATGTTTATACATGTGTATGTTATACACATCACACCACACCCACACTCACTGCCGTCTAGTCGGTCCCGACTCACAGTGACCCCTCCTTGGGTTTCTGAGGCAGTATCTCTACAGAAATAGATTGCCAAGCCTTCCTTCCAAGGAATGGGTTTGAACCGCCAGCCTTCTGGTTACCAGTCAAATGCCTTAAGCACTACACTACGTGTTTTTATATGTCTGTTGACCAACTCAATTGTTTCTCACATTTAACAAACTATGAGCAGCTCCCTACAGTGTTAAATGCTTTTTGAGAACATTAATCATTTTATATGCTATTCCATTCCCTAGCTGTAATATAATTACCATTGTCCTACTTTTGGAGCGTTAAGGTTGTTTTCCATTATTATAAATAATACTGTCATGAATATTCTTGTGCTGAAATCTTTGTTGTCTCTGAGTATTTCCTGGGGCTTGGTTTCTCTGAGGGTCAAACATAGGACTTCTGGTTTTAGGCTCTGTATTAGGAATCATATACTTACTTCCTGACTCACACTCTTAGCAGCAGTATGGGAAAGGCTTGTTTTGCTATGTCGTTGATAGATAAAATTATCATCAATTAATGACCTTTGTGAAACTTCTTTTCTAAGATACAAGTTGTGTAAAGATTGTGTGCTCCTTGTGTGTAGCGCCTAAGGCATTTGACTGCTAACCAGAAGATTGGCAGTTCAAACCTACCAGCCACTCCTCAGAAAGAAGACTGAGCAATCTACTTCTGTAAGGATTTACTGCCTCGGAAAGCCAAAGGGGGTCACTGTGAGTTGGAATCAACTCAGTGGCAGTGAGTTTGGTTTTTTGGTTTAGTGCAAATGAAAGGAGCCCTGGTGGAGCAGTGGTTAAGCACTTGGCTGCTAACTGAAAGTCTGTCGGTTTGAACCCTCTCTGCAGCTCCATGGGCAAAGAATCAGGTGATGTGCCTCCGTAAGGATTACCAAAACCAAACCCACTGCCATCAAGTGGATTCCGACTTAAAATGACGCTACGGGACACAGTAGAACTGCCGCATAAGGTTTTAGGGCTGTAAGTCTTTATGGAAGGAGACTGCTTTGTCTCTCTGTTGTGAAGATGCTGGTGGGTTTGAACCGCTGACCTTTTGGTTAGCAGCCAAATGCTTTACCCACTGCACCACCAGAGCTCTTTTCATAAAGGTTACAGCCTAGGAGATCCTATGGCACAGTTCTATGCTGTCACACGGGGGTCTCTGTGGGTCAAAGTCGAACCCGGCAGCACTTAACAGTGCCAGTGGTGGTGCTGTGCTTTCTAACTAACGTATCATTCGACTGGTTTCCTTGAATATTCTTATGCCACCTTAAGAAATTGTCAGTTTTTCCTTCCTAAACCAAAAACCAAACTTGTTGCCTCGGAGTCTATGACTCATTATGAACCCATAGGGCAGAATAGAACTGCCCCATAGGGTTTCCTGGGTTTCCCATCTTTCCCTCTTTACGGGGGCAGACTGCCTGATCTTTCCCCTACAGAGCAACTGATGGGTTCAGACGCCACTGCACCACCAGGGCTCCTAGTTTTTGCTTAAAGGGCTTAAAGGGGTAAAAATCTTTACTGTTTCAAATATGACCCTGGCAGATGTACCGCACATGTACTTTTGTCCTCACAAAGGTTTAAATTTATCGTGAACTGTACTGCTTCAGCCCTTCCTGATGGATGGATTGTTCAGACACTAACTGAGTCAGAGCATTCTTAGAAGAAGAAAAAAGAAGTGCTGCTGATGCTTTCAATGTTTGCTCTTGGCAGGACAAGAACAGAGTTTGGAGAGGAGAGTGGGATGCGAGGTAAGACTGAGAAATGTTTTTCTTCCGTAGTAGGAAGTAAAGTGTTGATGTCTAAAGCTGAAAAATAAAGAAGCAGCACTTGAATCATGTTATATAAGAACGAAGGAAGTAAATAGCAGATGAGCAGTTACGGGTGGAAGAAGGGGTCCTTAGTGGGGGGTATAGGGAGTATGGGAAGGGATGGCCCAGGTGACTGGTACTTTTTATAAGCCTAAAAGTATTAGTACTATTGGGTATTTTTACCATGTGTATCTCTGTATGTGCACATCCTCATTTCATTCTTTAAAATTACATTAAAACACACACATCCACATAGATAAGTCACTACCCTGAGTATCACGCACTAGTCTCTAAGTGGGTGCTTCAGGCAGTTGACAGTTCCTTTGAAGCCCTTTTAATGCGCCAATCCATTTTCCACACTGCAGCTAGAGTGAGTGAGTTTTTTAAAAAGCAAAGCTGAACCTGATACTCCTCCTGCTTCAAACTTCTAGTGGGCTCACCTAAGTCACCTTTTCAGCCTCATCTCACTCTCCAGTACCTCTCATTTTTGCAGCCCCAGCCACATGGGCCTTCTTCCATCCTTTGTCAGGGGTCTCTGTTGTCACAAGGCCTTTACTCGGACTGGTCCCTCTGCTGAAATGGTCTTTTCTCCCCTTCCCAAATTAGCCCTCAGTGGCCTTCAGGTCACAGTTCTGCAGCCACATCCTCCTAGAAGTGTCCCCTGACCTCCCTCTGGGCAGCATTTTACTCTCATAGCAGCCGCACCCCTCCTTCCTGGTGCTGGCCCTTTAATATTTACTTGCCTGAGGGTTTGACTGATGTTTCTTTCCAACTAGCACTGTAACTTCTCCGAGCAAGGCTGTCTGGTTTTGTCCCCCATCGTCCCCCAGCTTCTAGCTCAGTGCCTGGAACATGGCTGTTAACTGCCATTGAGTTGACTCCATGGGTTACAGAGTAACACTGCTCCATAGGGTTTCCCTGGCTGCAATCTTTACAGAAGCAGTTTGCCTGGCCTTTCTTCTGCAGAGCTGCTGAGC